AAATAATTCGAAGTGGTCTGTATTCTGTCGAAACTGCCAGACGCGGATCGCGATTTCGATCTTTTTGGATCTCATCAGCGCGTCGCAGGCAGCTCCGACAGAACACAGACCAACTTTTACCTGCTGTCTTAACAGTGCGTTTCAGAAAATACTACAAACGGCACAGTGAACGCCATCTGTAGCACGAAAAATACGTAATCCTAAAATGTAGCATCGTGCTACAGATGGCGTTCACTGTGCCGTTTGTAGTATTTTCTGAAACGTATTTTAGTTTCTAATGATAAAATTGGCCTCCACCTCGTACCATGTAACAGGTCCAAAACGCCTGATTGAACTCGCACCCCCCAATTTTATTATCATTTGTGCTGTTGTTGTTAATACAGCTAAAAAAAAATTAAAAAAACGTCTTGGGATACAAATACGTACCTTCAAATTGTTCTAATCGTAGCAATGTTATATTTGTGTTTTTGATTGTTTCAAAAGTTTGAAAATTTCAGATTAATTCGTTCGTATAAGCCTGAAATGCATATTATTTGATTTGAAAGCGAAATGCATGTTTAAGAACCTTACTAATCCAGGTGTTTCATACTAACACTTGTTTTCCTAACCATTTAACTTTAGTTTAGTTCCACAGAACCTGAATTGATTTTCTTGGCCGAATTTTAAAGAATAACTCTTAACTACGCCACTGTGTCTATTTATGTAGGAGAGATTAGGTAATATTTAGTGTAGTGATCGTTGTTATTCTACACTCTACAGCACAATAATATATCGTGGTTATGTGCCAGTGTTGATTTTCCAAAATTACCAAGTACTTACATTAAACAACCATTAAAGGGGAATCGTTAATAATATATAGAGAAAGTAACATCTGGGAAAATTGAATTGCAGTATTGAATAATTAACGATAAACTGATCAAATAATATTCGCACTACGTAGAGAACGTACTTTCGTGTACGGACAATTAATAAATTAACAGTGTGCTCCAACAGCCGATAGTGTTCATTCATCGTTTTTGTGATTAGTGTTACAATAAAATTATTAATACTTGAAAATGCAGCCGTTCGCGTACTTAGTTAAGGAAGCCCTTCCAAATTATTTGACAAGTTTGCCAATTCCCGATACTATAGGAGGATGGTTTCATCTAGGATGTAAGTATGACAATAATAATGACAAATATTTATAGTTGGTGTATTAATGAAGTCTATATTTGTGTTGTTAATGTATATTTTTTATTCAAGTTAAAGACTGGCTGGCCCTTATACCACCAACTGCTTTTGTTGCTGGCCTCTCATACATGGGTTACAGAGCGTTTTGCCCTGAGGCTGTTAAACACAGAACTCGAGTAAATCATATAATTCATAGGTCTAATCCTAAGGTTGTGGACACTGTAGATGTTGAAGATATTACAGACAAGGCTGTGTTTTGTAGGTGCTGGAAATCTAAAAATGTATGTTCATTTTCATGTACATGTTTGGTAAACATATCTTATCGTCTTATCAATTATTATTATATGCAATGTTGCCATATGTTTCAGTTTATTTGTAGGTCATTGTCACTGTTTTGGTGCATTTGTTTTTTTTTTGTTTTAGTGGCCATACTGTGATGGTAGCCATGGCAGCCACAACAAGGAAACTGGTGACAATGTTGGCCCATTGGTAGTCAAGAAATCAACATAAAAACCCCCATCACTAATCATAGGGAATTTTGTAGATAATGTGTAGTGGTACTCATTTTATTTGAATAATATGTTTAATAAGTGGTGGGCCTTGTTTTTTTCTCTCCATAAGTTTATATTTTTTTTATTAATAAATTCCTTTTTGTTTGAAAAAAAAAAGTTTTTTTTGTTATCAATCAGGAGCATCATCAAGTTTTGCTCTCCCTTCCCTCAAGTAACGCCTAGAGATGTGCAAAATGGTTTTTAAAAGTATTTAAATACAAAATGCAAATACGTTTTATGATTTGTTATTTCAAATGTAAAATACAAAATAGACTTTCCTTTTGTACAAAATACATATTCACAAATTTTTGCTTGATCTGCGTCTATCCTACGTAAACCTTGATCAGTCTTTATGAAAGAGGACTGTAACGTCACGGTTCAACCCTCGCCCAATTTACGTTACAGGTGTAATTTATTGATAGCCCCTTATTAGGTTTTTTAGAGGTCTACCTATTACCTAGGTTTTTAGTTTAGAGAATCGGGGTAATTTAAGTATTACGATAAAATTCATATTGTGTTATAATGTAGGTAATTGATAAATAATTCTGAATTAGGTATATCTAATCTTTGAAAGGTAATTAAGCCATCAAAGTTGTTGTATGTATTAATTTTTATTAATTTTAAGTTTTAAACGGTTGGAAAACGATATATAACCATGGGCGTAGTGAAAGATTTTTCCTAGGAGGAGCAGATTTTCAATAGCTCTAAGTTTATACAAGTTTAATAACTTTGTGACGATTTCGAGACTCGTCAGCCGGCGGTGACCCCCCCCCCTTTTTACGCCCATAAATATAACACTGGGTTAAATCGCTTAAAATGAAATATCATAAAAGTTTATTAAAAACATGTAATATCTATATAGTACAGGGTGTCATACAATAACCGTAATTTTTATTTTATCAATTATTGTACTTTAAAAAGCAATGCTTATCCATGTTGGTTTCGTATTTCGTAGTAGAGGTAGTTTAGAATCTGGTGGGACATGACCTTGGGTTACGCACTGACAGAAGTTCAACTGTTCATTAATTTCTACTTTTCACTAATCGTAAGACAATAGGCCGTTTAATATTCCTTTCCCGTAAAATATATTAGGTTTATTTACGATTAAACAAAATAAAAATATGTTTTTAATTTTTTAGATTTTTATTTCGTCAAAAAAAAAAAAACCCCCAGTAAAATAAAATAGTCGTTTATCTGTTCTAATTTTTAATTTTACGGTATGAATACTTTCAATAGATTTTAACAATATTTCCAATAGGTAATTTTTTTATATCACAGCACTGAAATCCTTTTAAAATTGCTTATCATATACATAAAGTTGAGTTAGCATGGAGGAGACAAAGACTGTCTAAAATTATGTTTTACGTACCTATGAACTAGCTTAATTTATTTTACATTTAAGGAACTTGTTTTCGTCCAGCGAAACCAAATTAGTAATAAAGGGACGTAGTAACAGGAACTTATATTTTAGATATTTGGAAAAGTTTAAATTTCAAACATTCTATAAAGTGCTCAGTATTATGCTAGATATTTGTTCCATTTTTTAACTAATAGGTATGTATAATAAACAATCTCTCTGCTATAAACTTCGTCCCCATTACTATGTGCTATTATTAATTAAAGTACATATTTTACATCATACTGTACATCATTACATATAAAAACACGATTACTTATTAATTAATCATATTGTGTGTATACGATATATTATCTAGATATTAATGCATATACAAGATGTCCAAAGAAAAAAGTTTATGAGGGAGTTGTCAAGTAAAACAGAGTGATTTCAATTAAACTTTTTTAGTAGGAATTAGGGTTGCCACCTTTTCAAGCTTTACATAAAGTATTTCTCAACTAAAAGGTTAAAAAAAAAGAACTCCGCATAAAAATAAAGTATTTTATTTTTTGTTTTTAAAAACATATTTTTTGTTACACCTAGCAGCCAGTAACAAATTGCTGTCGCTCTTAAATACATTAATAGCCTCTAAACATGGCAAACAAAGATTTAAGTAAACTAAAAGTTCATTTTTAATTAGTTTTAATGAAGCTTTATTCCTGTCGTCCCGCCACTTTGCGTTCATAACAGAGAATACTCTTTCTGTAAATGCTGAAGTGGCCGGAACGGACAGCAAAAGTGACACTACTTTGAACAGATTTGGGAAATCAGGTTGTTCCGTAAATATGGCTTGCCATTTTTCTGTGCAATATTATTGATGTAAAAATACTCTGAATTTCGAATAATCGCTTACAAAATTACGATGTTTACTTAAGGCCTTAAATAAAGTATTTTTGCGTACTTTATGTGTCTTGTAAAGTATAACGTACGCACAGTCGAAATAGAGTACAATACTTTATAATAAAGTACGGGTGGCAACCCTAGTAGGAATATGTACATTATTGTTTTTAAAAATATGTGGTTTGAAAGTATCAAGTGAGATCATTAAGATAAAGGAATGAGGCAAACTCATTGGAAATGTGTTTCTTATTAAAAAAATGTAACAGCAAATCAAGGACCTCGGGACCTCTCATCAATATAACACTTGTTGCTAAAAATATGTTGATGTTTATTTACAAAATTCAATTAGAATCCCGCCTCTGTGAATCTGCTGATGGGGACAACTCCCTTAAGGGATTTTAGATTACTTTTTTTACTTTTGGGTTTTCAGTTTCTTAGGAATCTATTCCAAGAATGATGGGACTAATTTGTTTTAGAAAAAAGTATTTTAATGCACCATTTCTTGGGACACCCTGTATACTGGTTCCAGTGTGAATATTGTGCGTATAACAAATACAGAATCAAATCATCTACATCACATATTTTAATCAATTTTGTTACATATTTTTTAATTTGCGGTATGTCGAGCAGTATTTTAACTAGTGTTTCCAACTGGTCCTGTATGTTTTTCATGACCTGTAATTAAGGAATATTGTTGCTTGTCCTGTAAAGAACTTCATACAACACCCAGTATCTTGAATTTTTAAGTTGCTTGATTGTCATACACAATTGGAAACACTAATTTTAAATCTCTTATCTTATTTTGTCAATAATTTTATTTAAATTTTTAAAAATTATTTTACAAGTCAATAAATACCTCCTTAATAATTCACATGACGGTTGAAAAAAATAACAAGTTTTAGAAATATTGGCCATCAAAAAAAAATACCTAATAACAGTGACTACTACTGCGTATCACCGGTAAAATCCAGTTCTTTGCAGATTTTTATACCAAAAGTTCCTCTTCTAATTTACTGTAGCGATGTGGTTTGCACTTGGGTTTCACTGAATCACTTGCGGGAAATTTTTCAATTTCAAAGCTAAAAACAAGAAATTATTTTAAGATATTTTCGTCGTTTTGTACAATACTTGTTGAAAACGCAAGGTATAAATATTTCAGTTGCTAAATGTTCCTAAATGATATAATTAATGACCGAATAATATTATTATTATCGCAGTTTTTACAAATTTATGGACGAACACATTAAACATACACGAATATAATTTAAACACATGTCTTACCGAAAAGTGTTTCAAATCGTCCTTAATATATTCATCTTCATTTGACAAAATTTGTCTGTTACCGTATCGCTTTCTGAAATGAAAAGTACGATATTGTTCAATTTCGAATTAAAAAATAAATACTACAAATATGAACATTTAACACAAAGTGAAGAAGAAACAAAAGTGGGACGGACTGAAATCGTCTCTAAGATTTTTTTGCGTCTTTTGCCTTATTTCTATTCTTTAGGATGTCAACAAGGTCGTTAATATTCATGTTCAGATGTCATTCGAAAAGATCTTAAATAATCTACTTGGAAACCTTTGAATATCAAAATATCGACTTGAAAATTTCAGGATCTTTATCATTTCTATTGTAGAAAATAGTGAAACAACGAGAAAAGAGAATAAAAAAATAAAATATTAATTTTCGACAATTTTGGAAATTCTTAAAAATTTTTAGCGACCCCTTTTAAAAAATTTTTTTGAGATGTGCTTTGGAGGGAGCTCTCAAAATATCATAAACTAATATAAATTTGTTTTTTTCCGGTCATCCTAATCTACTAGTCCAGGATCCCTGGTACATTTTTGCACTTGATTACTATCAAGCTAATTTTCCGTGAGTAGCTTCATTTTGATGAGACCCCCAACAACTTCTTGTAAGAAACTTTGATTGTGGTAGCTAACACAGGTAGGAAGGATATAATATGTCGGTTTGATGATTCTCAAAAATTTATTACTAACTAGGGTTTTCAAGATAAGGGAGATCGTACCACGCAATTTGTAGGACAATGTGACTATTAAATTATATAAATATTTTCTAAGTAAAAAATCAGCTGGTTAGCAATCACTTATGATTACCTCGTTGTCGGTACATGTTGGAAAGAGGGGACTCTTTGATCAAACCATAGATTTTGTAGGGCAAATATTTTTTCGAACAATTTAGATAATTATCTTGAGATTAAACACAAAAAACCCCAGTTAGTAATAAATTTTTGAGAATCATCAAACCGACATATTTTATTGTTACTACCTCTGTTAGCTACCACAATCAAAGTTTCTTACAAGAAGTTGTTGGGCATCTCATCAAAATGAAGCTACTCACGGAAAATTAGCTTGATAGTAATCAAGTGCAAAAATGTACCAAGGATCCTGGACTATACATGTATTATTTGTATGAAGCATAAATGTCAATCTCAAGCCAAAACACTAATTTTTGGAGACCTTCATCTTGCTGTAATTATAAACTTTTTTAAGTAAATTAACCTAATATTAATAAGGATGGCAAGCCATTAACCCAGTAACGGTCCCAGTCCGTTTATTGAATTTCGTAGACATATAAACAGTGAGAAGATGAAACAGATACAAATAGACACGGACGAACGTAGAACATATTAAATCTAAATTCCTAGTTGGCCACACAACTCTAAAAACGGTACAGGTATTTTGTCAATGTCTCTAGATAAATAGGTGTAATGATCCCATAACCACTAGCCTTACATCCTAACAATATTTCATTGTAGCTGATCTACTGTAATCCTTCAGGAGGTGGATTTTACTATTGCGCATAAATAACGTAGAATTTATGACTTTCAGATCTCGTTACGTGTATATGTATACTATGTAGTATCATTGTTCAATGTACAGTATGTCTCACAATATTTTATTTTCTTATGACATAAGGGCTTAAGAAATAATAGAGAAAGAGTGGAAAAAAGCTGGGATTGTGTGAATTTACAGTAAATAGGGATGAAAATAACACAGAAAAGTGTCTAGGAATTTTGCTTTTAGATGTAGGATACTAAGTCATGACCAACATAATGACTGATAGATTAAGTATTTGTAAATGGCTGATTGTAAAAAAGAGGGAATATATGAATAAGGCACAGATGTGCTTTAAGCGCAATTAATTGTGATGAGGTTTCGATTCGTAAGGAAGACGGCGAGGTGGCAATTGGTACAAATGTAAAAATATAATAAGATATATAAGGAAACTATTCCAAGTTCCGATAGTATAAAAAGAATAAGAATAAGGAAATGCAAGCTAGAATTAGATGTGGTAATATAGTGAGAGGGTATAAGAAAGGATGTAGATTGGGAATATGTACCATGTCTGATCAGTGCTCCGGGAAAACTATGGAGAAAGAAGGTACATGAAAACGAAGTAGAATGAGCCGTCTCGCACCACTCAGCGGTATACATAAGCATCCGCATATTCTCCATTTGAATACATTGGTTTTTGCTAAATAATTCCGCTTTCAACATATTTTTGTATTTTGTGGTAATGGTTTGCCAATCTAATCGCTAACAAGTGCAGATTATTGCTAATCGTTACGTACAATTGACTTGTCTACGTATCAACTGTTTGCCAAGGTCACGAATAGGTATGTGTGTTTCGTCGAAAGCCGATAACATAACGCGATAACTGTTCTCAATCACTGACGGCTTATTAATTAGGGCACTTTCGGTACAAACTTTTTACATCCCCTACGTTGTGGAACTATGACGAGATGCACTCTACAGTCCCTCCAGGTGTTACCGTTCAAATATTCCGGAATACTGATCAGACATAGCGTATATAATACAGAGGTGCATATGAAGTCATCTGCTTTGTTGTGCAATAGCCATACAAAGTCTAAAAAGGTAAAGTAGGAGACTATGATGGAATGAAAAGGTGGTTATATAACGACATGCGGGGGTTAATAGTAGAGACATTAAAAGGTGAAGTGCATGCGAATATGTGAGAGTAATTGGAGCACAAAATAAGGTGAATGAAGATTGCTTTTAAAAAATGTAAAATGAGTAGTTGAGTATTATGAAATAAAACAAAATAATTTTAAATACTCACTGTAACTGTCGTCTCCAATATAGTAATCCTAAATATCCTGCTATAGAAATAAACAGAAATGACATTGTCAAAACAGCTGCTAATCGCCCATGTTTCGTGGCAGTTTGTTTTTCTGGTCGAATCATATTCAAGCTACTTGCCATGAACTCGTCCTCTGTATTTTGTCCGTCTTCGATAAGTTCGACGTTGGATTTTGGATCTTTCGGGTCTTCCAATGGCACAAACGAATAAACCACTTTTTCTTTCTTGAATGTTGATATATTAAAATGTCTCATGTCGAATGATTCAGACAAAGTCGTCTTGTTTTCCGCTTTGGAGGAATCAAGTTCTTCCGTTTCTAAATTATATTCGGTGCCAGTCACATTGCTCGGAAATATTATATCTGATGTTGGGAGGTTATTTTCTTCCTTAGAAGAAAGTGGTTCTGAAACTAGAAAAAAATTCCTTGAATGCTTGAACTCTAATTAAGTTAATTATTAATTAAGGGATCGTACATGTTCACTCAGTACTGGTAAAAAATAGTATGATTGATCAGTCTTCGAAGAAAAAAAGAACGTACTAAGTTCTTGGGCAGGAAATTATCGAAACAACGAGATGAAGATTGCGATTTTGATTTTATTTGATCTCATTAATACGCCATAGGCAGATTCGATAAATTACGTATCAATACCGAATATACAAACAACAACCATAAGTATGTATATAGATGGCGACATATGTATACTGTCGTAACTTGAGATAGAAAGAGATAACAAAATGCCAAAGACAGCATTTTATGGTAAAGGTCTAGATGATGGCCCCCACCCCCTTCGGGGGATTCGAAAGAGGAGGTCCCCCCACCACTGTACCATAAAAAGTTCGTGGCGGTCTCACCCCCATAAAAAGTTATGGGGGTTCAAAGTTAATAAATATGCCAATTTTTATACATTTCTAGGCATGTAAATATTTATATAGTCATTCTTAAACAATATTCAAAGGTAAAACTAATGAAAAATACATAAAAATATTGAGAAAGTTATATAAAACATTATTTAAATATCTTTATCAATAGGGTAGGTTAGGTTAGGTTATCGGGTTTTGTTCAAGTGACCACCCTCTTTCGATCCCCCACCTCCACCCGCTTGAAAATAATTTTTTTATTGAATTTTATTTGAATTATAGTGTATGGAAATTGTCAAAATAATCAACTTTCAACCCCCATAACTTTTTATGGCGGTGAGACCGCCACGAACTTTTTATGGTACAGTGGTGGGGGAGACCTTCTCTTTCGATCCCACCCTGTCATCTAGACATTTATCCATTTTATTTATACAACAAATTAAATACTAGTCTATCATCATAAATTTCTTGGTGATTTGTATAGGCATTTTTTGTTGATTAGTTTATTTAAACGAATATGAGTTTTTAACTTTATTACATCACCGTCTACGTGATGATTTGAGGTTAAAGTTATTCGAATTTTTGACGGTTTTTAGGTTTTATTTAACCACTTCTTCTAAGCCGTTAAGAAAGTTTGACGTCTTTTTAGAAATCATTCACCTGAAATATCTTTTTCCGAAACACGGAAAAAACAAGCGAAAGTAGCTAATCGATTCAGTAAATATCAAATAAAAGCAAATTTTTATCGTTTAATGCTTGTTAGTGTTTATCGGTTCAATAAATTTTATGCTGTATTTCCTGAAACACTTTCGTCGTTAAGATATCATAACTCATTATGGATAATCTGCGGTATGATTTTTGTTATCTTACTAGGAGTCAATGTAAATCGGAATGCAGACATAGGAACAAAGAACAGTAAACAAGGCTATCTCTAACTCCTCTATATCTATCTCTAACTCCTTGCTGGATGCTAAAACTGCTAATCTGCCAATCTAAACAAAATAACCTTTTGCCCCTGTATATCTATCCGTACCGTTGCACTGTCTTTAATGATGTTGATCGCGTCTTCAATGTATAAATTAAAAATAACGGTGACTGTGCATCCCTGTTTGGCCCCCTTCCTAATATTTACTTCTCTACGTTGCTGGTCCAGCTCTATAACTGCCTGTTGCTCTTTATACAAACTGAGTGTCACTCTTCTATCTATGTAACTCACCCCTGCATTTTTAAGTATATTTAACATTGTCAAAAGCGGTAAAGGTCTAGGGGTGGGGGGATCGAAAGATGAGGTCTGCCCCACCACTGTCCCATAAAAAGTTCGTGGCGGTCTCACCCCCATAAAAAGTTAAGGGGGTTCACAGTTAATAAATATGCCAATTTTTATACATTTCTAGGCATGCAAATATTTATATAGTCATTATTAAACAATATTCAAAGGTAAAACTAATGAAAAATACATAAAGATATTGAGAAAGTTATATAAAACATTATTTAACTATCTTTATCAGTAGTGTAGGTTAGGTTAGGTTATCAAGTGACCACCCTCTTTCGATCCCACACCTCCAGCCGCTTGAAAATATTTTTTTTATTGAATTTTATTTGAATTATAGTGTATGAAAATTGTCAAAATAATCAACTTTCAACCCCCACAACTTTAATTAGGGGTGAGACCGTCGCAAATTTTTTATGAGGTTTTACTCAGATGACCACCCTCTTTCGATCCCCCCTACTCCCTTTCGATCCCCCCTACCTCACCCCCATCTAACCCCCATAACTTTTTATGGGGGTGAGACCGCCACGAACTTTTTATGAGACATAATGGGGGAGACCTCCTCTTTCGTTCCCACCCACCCCACCCCCTTCGGGTGAGGGCCATCATATAGACGTTTACCTCAAAAGCTTGTTCTAAATCTACCATACATATCTTGTGTACGCACATTTTCCTTTTTCTATCGTTTTCTCTATTGCTACCCTTAATGCTAGAATGGCCTCCCGCGTTCCTCTATTTCTTCTAAACCCAAATTGATCTTCCCCTAATAGTTCTTCCGCCCTTTTTTCCATCCTCCTCTGTACAATTCTAGTTAAGATTTTTGACGCATGGGAAGTTAAGCTAATTGTTCGAAATNGGAGAGGCTTTAATAAATAATTTATGAACGCCAATAGCAAATTGCCAATGTCACTGATTTTATTACACTCACTTATGAAAGGTTTTTGACCTCACCTTTATGCGTTTTAAATAAATTATTCGATGATATAAAGCAATCTTTAATGATAAAATTGTAGTGTTATTTCGGTACTTTTAAATAAACACTTAAATATGGTAAAGCTTTTCCATTATGTGTCTTTGTATGATGGAAAAGGTCAGACAGTGATTTAAAGAAAAATGCATATTATTATTATTAGATTAATCAAATTAAAGAATAGTTAGAAGAGCTTTTGCCTAAAATTATTACATTTTTATACACTAAAGTTAAATTTGGGCGGATAGGATGGTGAAGTTAGGTTTGGGGTCAGGTGTAGGGCGTAGGTTTAGCTGTGGAGTAAGGTTAGGTTAAATAAGCGAAAAGCTCAAAGAGTTGGGTATGCCAGCAATTATATTATAATTAATAATAAAAAACAAAATCAGAACAAGGTGATGTCACAAATTATTTTCTATCAATAAGATTAGGTACAGTAAAAATAATAGAAAAAGACAACGCTGACAATGAAAATAATTAAAACAAACGGGACTTATCTCAATTAACCACAACAAACAACACTTTAAATTAATTAACGCTTAATTAACATTTGTTTCGCTCACTGACGTTGTGGTATTTTCAAGCCTAGCGTTAAAAATAATTACAATACACTTAGCTTAAAGCAAAACTGCGTTGCGTTTTTACTAAACGATGCAAAAATAACTAAATTGATAGTTTCGGCGATTTGGTAAAGGTCTAGATGATGGGTGGGTGGGATCGAAAGAGGAGGTCTCCCCCATCACTGTACCATAAAAAGTTCGTGGCGGTCTCACCCCCATAAAAAGTTAGGGTAGGGGTGATCGAAAGAGGGTGGTCACCTGAGTAAAACTCCATAAAAAAATTTCGTCGGTCTCACCCCCATAGAGAGTTATGGGGATTGAAACTTGATTATTTTGACAATTTTCATACACAATAATTCAAATAAAATCATTATTTTCAAGCGGGTGAAGGTGGGGAATCGAAAGAGGGTGGTCATTTGAACAAAACCCGATAACCTAACCTATTGATAAAGATATTTAAATAATGTGTTTTATAACTTTATATATTTATGTATTTTTCGTTAGTTTTACCTTTGAATATTGTTTAAAAATGACTACTTAAATATTTACATGCATAGAAATGTATAAAAATCGGCACATTTACTAACTTTGAACCCCCATAACATTTTATGGGGGTGAGACTGCCACGAACTTTTTATTGTCCAGTGGTTGGGGAGACCTCCTCATTCAATCCCTCCCACCATCTAGACCTTTACCGGCGATTTTTTTTTGAATGAACATGATTGCCAAATTACTTTATCAAAAATAAAAAAAAAGAAACTGACTGCATCCCAGCAGTTCTAAAAGTTTGACGAAATAAATGCAAAATACATAAATACATTTAAGTAAAATTTCAAAGCCATTGCCTACTTAAATCATATTTTGATATCTGTTATCTGTAGCGCTTCCTGAAGCATCTTATGTATGCACAGTGACGTAGCTACCTAGGGGCTAGGCGGGGCAGTGCCTAGGGACCCTCATGNTAATCAAATTAAAGAATAGTTAGAAGAGCTTTTGCCTAAAATTATTACATTTTTATACACTAAAGTTAAATTTGGGCGGATAGGATGGTGAAGTTAGGTTTGGGGTCAGGTGTAGGGCGTAGGTTTAGCTGTGGAGTAAGGTTAGGTTAAATAAGCGAAAAGCTCAAAGAGTTGGGTATGCCAGCAATTATATTATAATTAATAATAAAAAACAAAATCAGAACAAGGTGATGTCACAAATTATTTTCTATCAATAAGATTAGGTACAGTAAAAATAATAGAAAAAGACAACGCTGACAATGAAAATAATTAAAACAAACGGGACTTATCTCAATTAACCACAACAAACAACACTTTAAATTAATTAACGCTTAATTAACATTTGTTTCGCTCACTGACGTTGTGGTATTTTCAAGCCTAGCGTTAAAAATAATTACAATACACTTAGCTTAAAGCAAAACTGCGTTGCGTTTTTACTAAACGATGCAAAAATAACTAAATTGATAGTTTCGGCGATTTGGTAAAGGTCTAGATGATGGGTGGGTGGGATCGAAAGAGGAGGTCTCCCCCATCACTGTACCATAAAAAGTTCGTGGCGGTCTCACCCCCATAAAAAGTTAGGGTAGGGGTGATCGAAAGAGGGTGGTCACCTGAGTAAAACTCCATAAAAAAATTTCGTCGGTCTCACCCCCATAGAGAGTTATGGGGATTGAAACTTGATTATTTTGACAATTTTCATACACAATAATTCAAATAAAATCATTATTTTCAAGCGGGTGAAGGTGGGGAATC